TTACTATGGCTGATGTCAACTGGGTCAGCCCCTTTTTTATCTTCCCAACGCATCTTGTAGATCCAATCAATACGACAACCAACACCATCTTCGAGTGTCATAGTTACAACCAGCTCCTCTCCATTCTTCAGCTGAACGCCGTTGAGGAAATAATTATGACAATACTGCTCAAGCCCCCGACGATAAAAGTCTTGAGTTGGGTTATGGCCTGTAAAGAGATTATTGCGAGGGAAGGCACAAGATATATCTACATCATCACGGCTGAACAGATGAGGCGTAGACAGTGCCTTTGCAAGTGTCAATGCAGCAGTTGCCAGAAATGTACCTAGAACTGGAACAACGTGTACCATGGTGGCAGCAGAGGTGCGAAATAAACATTCACAATAGTGCGAAGTTATAAAAAATACAGGATAATATGTATATGTAGTTCAACCAAGAGCACAGCATATTGGGTTACTTATAGGTTTAAATCACTCGTAAAAGTCATTAGAGTGATCATCCGGAATGGCTTAAGCAAGCGGTAATAAGCAGCTTAAGCACACGTTGCTAGGACACCGATCTGTTCACTTGTGCACGGGCCTTGCAACACCAACGTGATAATTTCAGATTCATTAGTTACTTCCTTAACAACATGCACCTACACCAATATATAAATAGCTTCCCTTTCTAATTAAGATTAACCAAATCGAGTGCGTTTATGTGCATTATCACAAGCATTTCTTGGATCTTGACAGTTAGTTATCTACGATTATCCTCTTGGAACCTGTTCTTCCTCAGATGCCTATAGAAACATGTGCTCTTGGTACAAAACTTGCGTCTGCACTGGCAGGAAATAACCAAAAAACGAAAGCAAGAGATATTAGAGGCCATTTAGCGGGATTGAACTCAGGTTAGCAAGATTCGCTCCGACGTAGTTACACTAGCACTGCAAGTTACGGTGCTATACGAGCGGACCGGGCGGCTAGAGAATGCGATGGAAATATTCATTAACTATTCTATAGCAGACATCGAGCGCTAAGCCATATACAGAGGGTGAGACTGTTCAAAAACAATGCGCAGCTGTGCGCAGGGGTGAAGCCTTAATCGCTAACTTAATCACAGTACATAGCACACGGGCATGTATTCCTGTTAGCCATGGGGCTTACTATCGCACTGACGTTACAGTCCTTAGAAAATTGTAAACTGCTCACTCAAACTGATGACGCTCATAAGCAGTAACTACCTAGCAGTTGGAAAGATGCGACGCTAGACGCTGTGCCACGATCTTCCCGACCGTGCCACGGCCACATGGCTGTTCAGAGATGAATTCAGCCTCTGTTCGGGCCATAGAGCTCGTCTCTCCGTCTTGCCCTGTCATTCTCGTCAGACCCCTAGGTTGGCCCATCCCTGTGTGATCCGGCAGTGCCACCGATGCCGCAAGCGAAAAGATACGAAGAACACAATGGGAACTTATAGCGTTTCGACCCATGCATATAGATAAAGTGTTTAAGCGGCCCCTTGACACTTACATGTAGAGACCAATCAGATGTGAGTCGCATGATCTAATCTGCTGATCTGTAAGTCTTGGAGCTACAAAGATCTGTTAGTCTGTAGGATGATTGCTGTGCAGCGCTTCGGCTGCGATCCTCCAAACTACTTACGTACTGGTTCTTGCGTGGAAGCACTTTCAGCGACCGTATGTAACATGGTGTGTATGCATATACATACATTAACTAGCGATGCGGCTTTAACAACCTCACCTCACAGCCACGCATAGTTAGTGCAGCAGCATCAGCCGTAGCCAGAAACAAATATTGCCGTCTCTCGTTCTGCGCCAAACCGTGTCGAAAATGGAGCATCACAGAGACATCGTAGAAGCAGTGCGCTCTCGCGTCCAACACTTTTACGCCACAAAAGCAGGTTTCCGTATCTATCACGGCAGCACAAACAGCACACGGCACGCAGATTTCGATCGCAATGCTATTGTGGACGTCAGCATCCTCGATCAAGTCATCTCCATCAACCATGACACCAAAACCGCCCTGGTCGAACCCAACGTCCCCATGGACGTCCTCGTCCAGGAAACCATGAAAGCCGGCTTACTTCCACCCGTTGTCATGGAATTTCCAGGCATCACCGTCGGCGGAGGCTTCGTCGGGACCGCCGGCGAAAGTAGCAGCTTCAAGTACGGCTTCTTCGACCGGACCGTGCTAAGCGCTGAAGTTGTGCTTGCAGACGGCACGCTCGTGACCGCATCTGCCAGCCAGAACACCGACTTGTTTGAAGGACTCCGAGGCAGTTTCGGGACCCTGGGCGTACTGACAATGGTGGAGATGCAATTGATTCCACTGAGACAGATGGTCGAAGTGACATACCATCCCACGTTCTCGTTTGAAAATGCAACAGGAACGATGAAGTATCACGTGAGCGACGCACGGAACGACTACATCGACGGCATCATATTTTCAAAAGGCACGGGCGTCGTTGTCACAGGTCGACTCATCGATACGCCTATCTCTACGTCTTCCCGTCTTCCCGTACAACGCTTCTCCAGGCCGTGGGACGAGTGGTTTTGGATCCACGCGCGAACCGCCTCGTCCCGCGGCATCGTTACTAAAGAACTGGTGCCTATCCAAGACTACCTCTTCCGGTACGACCGCGGCGCCTTCTGGATGTGCATGTACGCCTACAGGTACTTCATGGTGCCGTTTACGTGGATGACGCGCTTCCTGTCCGATTACTTCATGCACACACGCATCATGTATCATGCCTTGCATACGTCGGGACATACAGATCGCTACATCATTCATGACATTGCGTTTCCAGCCAACAATGCTACGCCATTTCTTGAGTATGCCGACGAGGCGTTTAGCTTGTATCCTATTTGGCTGTGTCCACTGCGCCGAGATGGCAGGAGCTCAATGGGGCATGCGAAGCTGTTTAGTGGGCTGGTTGGCGGTAAGCCAGTAGACGGGTGTGAGGGTGAGGGTATTAGTGTTGGGCTGTGGGGTCCATATCCATCAAACGAAGGAGAGTTCGTCCGTGCGAACCGTGACATCGAAGCGAAGATGCGGGAGCTGGGCGGTTTGAAATGGCTCTATTCGCGCGTATTTTACAGTGAAGATGAGTGGTGGCAAGTCTACGACAAGCACGGGTATGACGAGCTCCGTCGGAAATACCACGCCACGTCTCTACCTTCAATATGGGACAAGGTCAAGGACCGGGGGCGGAGGCAAGACTTCGGCACGGGAGTCAAGGGCTTGTTGAAGAGACTTGTGAAAAGCAATGCGTTCTTATCCGGTCTCTATGGTATATACAAAGCGGTGAAGGGCGGCGACTACATGCTGAAGAAGCAGAAAGCCGCTTGAGGCCCGGCAACATATAGGCGCATACGTGTATGTAAGACATAATGAAGGGGCTAGATAATTCCTAGTTAGATAGGGGTAGATTAACTTGCAAGGACGAAATACACGCTATCCTAAGAAACAATAATTCTGTTTCACATAATATGTAGAGAGCAAAGCGCCTTCTCATATAGCCTATTTATCATAGATCTTCTTTCGCTATTTCCCTGCGCATTATTTTGAAAACGGATGGTTAATAACCTACTACCACCTGGCGGCGCTCCTTCTTCCATATGCATAAGTACAGCCAGTATATGGTGGGCATGCAGCATCATCTACTAGAACTCCAATCGCACTCGATCTGCTCTATCACTTATTCAACAAAACTATCAATCACTTAAGTTTCTAACATAAGGTATTTCATATCGTACCTAACTATTTAAAACCTTGATACCTATAATCTACACATTCGTAATTCTAAACTCGCTCACACCCTCGACACTACGGACAGTCCTCTCACCATCTTTCCTGCAATGACACCAACCCCACTATCTCTATTGTCTCCTAATACTAACTAACTAACTACTGCTTCTTCTACTCACTATTGCTGCTATCCCTACTGCTTGCCACCTTATAGTTCCACTATGCCGTCACTAGTAGTTTATGATAAATGTTTCACAAACATGTTCTTAGTAGGACTGCCCAGCCAGCCGCGTTCGCAGCGATCAGTGTCACCCACTCGCGATTCACTGCCCACTCGTGATTCACTTGCTAAATAGCCTTCAGTCTACCTCTTCTCTCTGACCCTGTTACGATAAGCTGCGTCTTGGTCCTGCCCATTATGAAGCGGGCTTCATCTTTATCTGCTCTACTAGTTCAAACCTCTGCTATCATATGCATGCTACTAGGGTTCTATACGGTTGGGTAGTTCCTTATATATGTTTCTTGTCTGTACCGCTGAAGCTTCCTCTACCATATGTGTGTTGCTTGTATCTACCACGAAGGCTTCCTCTGCCTCTTGCACAGCACGTTGGCGCTTCCTGTGCTTTCCTTTGTCTAATGGATAGGAGGCTCTCCTGGCTCTCGAAATCCTACACCTCCTACCATTGCGTTCTCCTCAACTTCGGCCCAGTATGCCTCCTCTTCGGTCTTATCTAGGATATAGTTAGAGCTGAGTATTAGTTATTTAGTAGTTCAGGGGATAGGCCAACCGCAATATACCGCTATGCATCGCATCACATAGAGCGGGGCATCCTCCGAGGGACTCTGAGGGCACACCACATCCTCATCTATCATACGTTCGTGCACCGTGCACCAGTTGAAATGATTTCTACGAAAACAAGTCTTGCTAATACGCCCGGCGCATTCAGGGCTAACGTAGTAAGCAATTATACGTATCAATAAGGTTAACTAACCATGGTCTGGTCTCTTCATAGCAATCTTCGATTTGATCTAAAGCTCTTCCGGATACTTTATCGTTAGCTTATATTCCCACTCTTCATGTTCGTTCTTCTTAGCAAAATTAATTTTTATAAACTGACTTCTGGAATATACAAAGGTCTTGTTATCCTCTCTAATAAAGCAGCTATGTCCCTTAAAATTTTGGCCATAGTTATTGCTCTGTAAGGCGTTGGTATTGGTCTCTAAATGCAGGCAGCTTTTCTCATAGGTTTTTAGGTTAATATTAGGTCCTGTAAAGTATATGTCTGGCCCTGACTTGCAAGCTACGTCGCTATTCTTTAAGATAAAGAATTCGTTATATTTACTCTGATTCTTTGTTGAAACCTGCTGACACTTCTCGAAGACATTCTTAAAGCTATTGTTCTACCGGATCGTTGTTAGATAGATACTGCGAGGTCTTTTTGTCACTAGTTGTAGCTGATGGTTTTTAGTGTCCATTGCATATGCAACAACGTCGCCCGTAAGGTTAAGTTAGATAGCTTCTTATTGAACACACCCTGTTGTATACCTTACGACTGCTTCCTGGAGCGTAACTCGTTATATACTTAGATCTCTATTACTAGTAAATATGTAATGTGCATCCCTGCGTACTGGCACAGCTGGTGTGGTGGAACACTACCTCTTAAGTAGATAGATACAAGCAGAATCACTTATAGAAATAATTTTAAAATCTCTGGTTGTTTTTACTTGTATATATCTTACACACAGCTAATGCTTAGATAGAAAAATACGTAGTGGTGTGGCTTTATGTTGTTAATACGCCAGTGGTGATATTTTGTGCCTCAACTAGCACCTCAGCCTACGCAACTGTTTTAATTAGTCTGAATCTTGTTGTTGGTGATCTTGGGCGATGCTCTAGGTATCGTAGTTTCAGAGCTATGATTGTGATTAGAAAGTTTCTCCGTCGCTAGAGCGATTGGCAAGATCCCCTATGAGAAGTTAGCGCAACAAGCCTAGCTTTGTCATTTGTAATGAATAACTATCCGCGTGGCTTTTTCCTTAGACAGTCATGTGACCGTTGCTTCGGGTACTTTCCATCAGTCTTTGTTCTATTATTAGCACAACATGAGGAACACCCACCACTGGGATATACGATCAGTTGAGGTAGCTGTGGTGTGCTTGTATACTACAGCAACTATGGACCCCGCCAGCCAGGCACTACTAGCCTTAGTTGCCTCCCAACGTGCGCAAGAGCATCTCTGCTCGAGCTAGATATGGTAACGTTCCTCGCACTACTGTTCATTATCGGTATCGAGGTCGACCCTCGAAGAAGGTCAAACATGGAAATTAGCAATACCTGAGTCATGCTGAGGAGAAAGCGCTTGTTGATTTCCTACTACGTATAAGTGTCAGTGGATCCCTAATCCGTATCAAGTACTTGTACATCCCTACCTCGCCTTCTGCATCGCTCGCCGACGAGTATCGAATCGGCCCGCCGGCCCGTTACACAAGAACTGGCCTCAAAACTTCCGCCGCCGTCACCCCGAGATGAAGTCGAGAAATAACAAAACAATGGCTTGGGAGCGCTACGATAACAATATATATGACAAGGTTGTACGAAGAGGTGTACTTGGTAAAACGCGGAAGTAGGGCAGTGGAGCAAATAGGGAGTTTTACTCGATATGAGTTCGAATCAGTCAAAACCACCCTGGTATGGTAATATTACGCTCTGATAACTGAAGCTCTCGGCTAAGTGTTCTTTTGTTAGACATTACTATTGGTGGGGGCACAATGTATTGAATCTTTCGTCCGATCTTATATTGCACAATCCGGAATTTTGCCACCGCCCCACTGCCCCTACTTCCGCATTTTACCAAGTACGTTAACTACTTAATTGTGTAAAGTATCTTGAATCTGACATTTTTTTTTTGCCGTCCAAAGTCCTGCCTGCACGAAACATGTTTTGTGTCATCCTGATTACGCATAAGGATACTATCGACTAAACGCTAGTTAACTTAGATGTTGATAGTTCACATATTTAAGCTGGCTTTGAAGTTCCACACCGCTAACACCTCCAATCCGAGCATAATCAAAATCATGCTTCTTACTTCCTCCTCGGTCTCTTTTCATAGTTCAACCGTGGTAATATACATTCGATAAGCTGGAAATTGAACCGGCACTATAATGGTATCTCTATCTATTCGTTTCGTCAGTTTAACTGATCTTGTGGCACGATACGTGATCGAGCTCAAAAGATCAGAGGGGCGACCCGCATTCGAGTAAATAGAATAAGCTAATAGATATTCGTTGTGAAGGATTGATTAAAGAAGGTGCCTGTCTACGTACGAAAGGAAATCGCGATGAATACTACGAGCTAGTCACGTGATACTACACCACAGTATCTTCTCTAAAACTTCGACATGTCCGAGCATTATGGCCAGGTTCTCGACAATTCCCACAACTACCGCTACCAGTCCTCCTTGGTAGTAGCCTCGTGGGCTGATTATGCCCCTTGCGTCCCTTAAACTTTGTGACATTTGGTGGTCGACCTCTAGTGCTGGTAGGATGAACAGCTTGAAAAGGCTTCTGTTGTGGTACTGATTGTAGGAATCTAATGAACTCTGAGAAGGACATTTGCTCAAGAGCTTTTGACTCTACAACCTCTTGTTCTGACTGTGATCCAGACATATGCGTATCAGAAGGCATTTCTGGCTGTGGTGGCGGTGTTGGGGTCTGATGGTACGCCCTAGGGTGAGCAATGACTCTCGGCGTGTTTAAGGACAACTGCCCTACTGCCTGAAAAAAGTTCCTATGTCGTTCGGACTTTATCAGGCCTAGAATGTCTTCAATGAATAAGCCGGTTGGGTTCAGGGCTGATCCATCCTCCTCGCATAGGTCTTGTATGAGCTTCGCTGATTTGGAAGCTGCTCCCGGCTTAGTTCTAGGCGGTTTAGAATGCTTGTCCTGTTCCCTTCCTACACAACTCCTATACCCTAGTTGTTGTTCGTCTGCCATATCTGCCACCTTAAAAAGCTAGGACGCAGAGCTTCGCGAACTTAGACTAAGAATATGTCGTATAGCTGTCTGCTTTGCGATCGTGGCAATCTCTAAGCGGTTTGCTTGTGTCCGGCCCCAAAACTTAATTCCACGGATTCGATCAGCGAGTAGTCAATGTCGTAACTCCGTTGAAAGCTGTGGCAACGCGTCGTACGCTCTCAAATCGTCCTGAGACGATGGGCTTGATGATCAAGAATGACCCTGCCTTTTTGCTGAGTTAGTATTGCGTTCTTTTGTGAGATATTGTGGTGTCTACGTAATGTTCGCAATGCCAAGAAAAAGAGGCCATCTTGGTGGTTAAACACAATAGAGGAAATACGTACTGGAATGATATTTGTCTACTCCGTACTCATTGTCATACTCATAGCCGAAAATATGGGTGGAAGGAGGGAATTTTGGAAAGCAAACGCGTCGCGCGTAGGCATGTAGGGGCGCCCGTGTATCTAACAGAGAAAGGAGGTTGGGTGGACGCTGGATTGGGAAAGGTTGCAAGGTAGCGAGATGAGTCGGCAGGGGCAGGTGAAACGCACTATTCCCAAAGGGTCCATAATATCGTTGACTCTTAC